GAGAACCAAAAAAACAAAATCAGAAATGAAAAGGATGCATACAACTGAGACCACAGAAATACGAAGTACCATCAGAGACCATTACAAACAACTATATCCTAACAAACTGGATAATCTGGGGGAAATGATTAAATGATTAGAAACATACAATCTACCAAGATTGAACCAGAAAGAAATAGATAACCTCAGCAGTCCAATAACAAATAATGAGATCTAAGCAGTAATAGTCTCCCAACAAAGAAAAGTCCGAGACCTAATGTTTTCACTGCTGAATTGTATTAAACTATCAAAGAAGAGCTAACATGAATTCTCCTCAAATAATTTCAAAAAATTGAAGAGGAGGAAGCATCCCATATCTCATTCTATGAGGCCAATATTACCCTGATACCAAAACCAAAAATATACAAAAATGGATTGCACTTCTATATGCCAATAATAGACCTATCAGGAAAAAAGCCAGTCTGATTTATGATCACTACAAATATATGTATATGTATATGAGTATATATATATATATATATATATATATATATATATATATATGTATGTATATGTGTATACACACACACACACAGACACACACACACACACAGACACACACACACACACAGATCTTTCACCTGCTTGGTTTCATTTGTTCCTAGGTGTAAACTAATAGGAAAAAAAAATAGGGAAAATACTTCAGGGCATTGGTCTAGGAAAAGGTTTTATGTCTGAGACTTCAAAAGCACAAACAACAAAAGCAAAATAGACAAATGGAGCCATATTCAGCCAAAAAGCTTCTGCACAACAAAAGGAAACAACAAAATGGAGAGAGCATGTTGAATGGGAGAAAATATTTGCAAACTATTCATCTGACAATGAACTAATATTTAGAAAAAATGAACTCGAACAACTCAATAGTAAAAACAAAATAAAACAAAAAATTGTTTTCATTTAAAAGTGAACAAAAGACATGAATAGACATTTCTCTAAATAAGATATACAAATGGCAACAAGTATATTTAAAAATGTTCAACATCACTAATCCTCAGGGAAATGCAAATCAAAACCAAAATGAAATATCACCATACCCCTCTCAGGATGGCTATCATTAAAAATGCAAAAACAAACAAACAACAACAACAACAAAAAACCCCAAGAGAAGCTGGAGAAAAGGGAGCTCTTACACAATGTTGGCAAAAACATAAGTTAGTGTTGTCACTATGGAGAACATTGTGGATATTTTTCAAAATGTAAAAATGGAACCAAAAATGATCCAGCAATCCCACTAGTTCATATTTATCCAAAGGAAAATAAATTCATGTATCAGTGGGTTACCTTCACTGTTATTTTTATAGGTATTCATCATGGACAAATGGAAAAAGAAAATGTAGTATATATGCACAATACAATACTAGTCATCCATAGAAAAGAATTGAACCATATTATCTGCAGCAACATGAGTGGAAATGAAGATCACTCTTTTAGCTGAAATAAGCAAAATACAAAAAATAAAAAGCTAGATATATGTATCCTCTTACTCATAAGTAGGAGCCAAGAAAGATGATCTCATGTAGGTAAAGAGTGGAATGATGGATACTGCAGGACAGATAGTGTGTGTGTATACAGGAGGTGATGATGATGAGAAATTAGTCAATGGGTACAAATATACAATAAGGAATTCTATCTAATGTTCTATAGCAGAGTAGGGTGACTATAGTAGGCAATAGTGTGCTTCATATTTCAAAGTATTAGCTACTCTGAATTGTTCTCAACACATAATAATGAATTGATAAAGGAGGCTAAATACAGTGACTCATGCCTCTGAGCACTTTGGGATGCTGAGGCAGGAGAATTACTCAAGGCCAGGAGTTGAAGAACAGCCCGGGCAACATACTGAGATCCTGCTTCCATGAAAATTAATAAATTAATTAATAATTGATTAGCCAGGAGTAGTACCATGTGACTTGGGATAGTTAATTACTTGGGAGGCTGAGGCAGGAGGATCATTTGAGGCCAGGAGTTCAAGGCTACAATGAGCTAGATCATGCTACCATAGTCTAGTATTGGTAGCAGAATAAGACCCTGTCTCAAGAAAAATATGTAGATAAAATAAAAATAAATGCTTAAGGTGATAGATACCTCAAATGGCCTAACATGATCATTACATACACATGTAAGAAATACTCACATACACCCCATACATATGAAAAATGTTATTTATTAGTTAAAAAATATAAAAATTAAAAATGCGTAATCTGTCTTTTCTCTACAGCATGAAATCTGGAAATTCTCACTTTTATCACATGATCTTCAATATTCTCTCTCTCTTCTTCCCTCCTTCTTATCTTTCTCATAAAACAGTCTTTAATATCATCAAGATCTTCAAATCTTCAATTCTTTAACGCACTTATTTTCTCCCATTTTATCTGATTCTACTTTTACTTCCTTCCCTTTCAAGGCTGGACTGCATTTTTATCATTGTTCACAGAAGCTCTCACTTCCTCGTCATTCCCTATTGTTCAGTGTGTCCATCCCCCACTAGGAGTCACCTCCACATTGCACAATGTAGGCTTGACATGTCTCACATTCCCACGATTATCTTTCTCAATCTGTTTGCTGTTTCCACACTGTCCCTGGAACTTCTAGCTTACACATCTTTGCCAGGAACCTACTTACCAAATTTATGAGCTTCTTATGAGACTATATTCTCTTGACCTTCATATAGCATTGGATATGTTTTGTCTCCATAAATATGCATTTTTGAAAGTTTTCCACTGATAACTTCAGTTATCAGTGGAAAACCCTTTACTTTTCTATTTGTTCTTTTAAAATATTCTCCATTGTGTCATTTTCTCTCTCCTACTCTTGAGTATTAGTATGTTCAAGGTTAGAGTTTATTATTTTTACTCAGATATATCTCTTCACAATTTATCTCATTCATCTTCACACCTTCAGTTCTGACCTTCATATAGAGACAGCCCAGCGACTCAGGCAAGTCTAAGATGAGAAAATTAGGATATGGAATCATCTGAGAATAATTTACTCCTGTGATTGTAAGAATTAATTATTTGAATAATTTATCTCAATGAAGGAAACCATTTCTTCCTCTGTGTTAAGTAACTTTTTAATCTTGATTTCTCTCATGTTTTTCTCATAGCTGAGCCTATATCCTCAGCGGCATCACATATTTTTCTATCTAGTTGTATTTTATCATCTCTCAATTAAGATCAGCCTTCTCCCAATATTCCCACAAATCAGCTCTTCTTTGTGATTTTGCTGTTTTTGATATTTTTACTTTCCCTCCTGCTCTTCTAAAACATAAAATATGGACTCATCTTTGATTCAATGCTCTTCTTTGTCTTTTTAGCTGGTTGTAATTTGCCAACTATTACTGACAATTTTTTCCTTCATGATACCTACTGTAACCATTTTATTACTTTTTATGTCCCACAGCCAGGCTACAACTTTTCTCTATGATTTAAGTATCTATTAACTGTTTTCCTTTTCCTATTCCCCTTCTCTCCAGTTTATCTTGAACAATTCTGCTATTTTTCTTACATACAAATTTCTATCTTTTCATTTTCTCCAACACTCAAAAGCAAGGACTATCCAACAGAGTTGGTTCATGGACATGTGACCTATCCATCGCGTAGGGCTTCATGCTTAGAAGGGACCCACACATGGATTAATGTTCTGCTGTAGTCATTTGAAATTCTTAATAACCTATAAACAAGGATCTCCTCATTTTTATTTTGTGCTGGGTCCTGAGAATTATGTACCACATTTTGCTTCCAATAACAATAAATACATTTGATACCAGCCTCCTGCCTAAAACTCAAGGCCTTTCATACCTAGCACTTACCCATCCCTAATCACCATAGCACTCCTCCCTTACTCTTCAGTGAAACTGGACTACCAGCTGCATTCCACATATACTTGTTTATTTCCTACTTTTGTGCTGTTATCTCTTAATATACTCTCATTTTAGCCCTTCAGAGTTTTACCAAAATTCCTTCTTCATGTCTTGTTTTTCTTATTTTTAGTCTTGGAGTCCCCAAAATGCTGTCTCCTTTAAATTTTTTAGTGTTATGTTTATTTTTTTTCCCAAGAGCAAACATTTATCTTATTTCCTTTAATTTGGAGAGGAACAGGGAGGGTAAGTGTCTTGTTATCCCTATTAAATTTCAGATCCCATGAAGATAAAAATAAACTCTCTTATTTATCTATATATTACATGCAATGATTTATACATAAAATATATTCAATAAATGGTTAGTGCATTTATTTCAGCAAAACTGCTTTATGGCAATAAATAAAAATACCTTTCAGTGTGATAGACAAGCCTGCTTCTCATTTTTAAATAAAAATCTGTGTTTGTGTGTGTGTGTGTATGTGTGTGTGTGTGGTAGACAAGCCTGCTTCTCATCTTTAAATAAAAATATGTTTTGTGTGTGTGTGTGTGTGTGTATTTAGCTTTCTTGATTTCTCAATTGTATAGTTTTTGCTTTTCAATGAAATAGGAGAAAAATAGAAATCTGGGCCACAATAAATTCTGATGAGCAGACTTAAAATATAAAAGGGAGAGAGGGGAAAGAAAAGGAGAGAGGGAAAAAAATGAGGATATAGACACAAACATATCAATTCTGCTGATTAACATGTTCCCTGGTTGTAATCACTACCCTCTCTGACATTCCAGAAAGGTGATACATCTTTTAATGTGCCTGGTCTAGAACAGCAAAGGAAAATCTTAGAAAATAAAGCTAGAGATGATGTAGCTAGCCTCCAGCATTTTGTTTATGAGAGCATCCATTCGTGTCTGCTTGGGCTTGCTGAATAATGTCATTCTGTCCTTGAGGCATACATCAGGCAATGAAATTTGTTGTATTAGTTCTTTCAGGCTTTCTACTGATTTCAGGATATCTGAGAATTTCTTAGTATAAAGTGGTTATATGTGTTAAAAATATGTGGGATATATCAGTGGTCTTATTATTTTGACTTTTCCTTAACAATTTCAGATGAAAGCTGTATAATGGAGGAAAAAACTGAACTAAGGCAAGAATATGAGCAAAAAGGTGAAGAAATACATTTTTTTATCTGGAGTGAAATGCAAGTACCATTGAAACCCATTCCATTATTTAATTTCCTAGTTATCCTCATTGCTCATCCACTAATTTTTACAGCATAAAGTTTAAATACAGAAATATTTAACTGTTAGAAAGGAAAACATGAGAGCCAAGTTATACTTTTTTTTTCTATTGAGTGTCTGTTTTATGCATTTAAGAAACAATTCTGTTTTGTTTTTTCATTAACATGGCTGATTAAAAACAATGGACACCACTTCTCCTCAGAAAGAAGAACCAAAATTACAGGTAGGTAACCATGGTCCAAGTGAGGTACTGAGGGATGAGTGATGAATCTATTGAGGAATCCACAAGAGGAAGCGTGGGTGCTGTAAAATAAGGAAGCCAATGTTTGGCAAAGATCAACCCCCAAGGAATTTGGAGTCTCATGGAAAGTGTAGGTGGGGGTGCATTTTGCTCCCATCACCCGTGTGTCACACTGCTGACTTCTGACTTGTTGGGGAGATCCCTTGCAATCCCTGTGGGCAGGAATCCGGGAACTTGGGAGTAGAACCAGCTGTACAGTCTTTCTCATTCTCACCCCAGACCAGAGTGGAGGCACCATACGGTTGCGCACCTGCTGTGGGTCTCTATTCTTCCCATAGAGTCTAATCCCTTGTATCTACACACCACTAGATTCCATGCAAACATTCCCTGCAATCCACAAAGGACTGGTAGGATCCTGGGGAGCTGTGAGATTTCTGGAGGTCTAACTTGTGGGGCAAGATGCCTCTGGCAAACGGGAGAACATGAATTGCCAAAGTGCCCTTGAGAAAAGGCAACCAGATTTTACACTCTGTACCCGAGAGCTCCATACTTGTGAGCAGAAGGTGACTGTGCCCTCCCCCTGCAGAGACACAGGAGCAGTGTGAAGTTCTTTGGGGAAGAGGGTGGTTTTGTCTCAGTGGCTAGGCAGCACTGGTGCCTGGAAATTTATGAGGAGATGGAATTTCTCCTACTGCCCCCCTGACACTGCTGCAAATGCAGCCATGGCTGTTCATGTGGTGGGTGGGTGGGTGCAGGTGTGCCTTGGGATGCCAATTCCAGAGTAGTTGGGCACAGCTACAGCCCTATTGATAGAATCTCTACCAGCACCAGCCTGGGCTTGCATGAAGGATGTGGTCCATCTCCCTTCCTACAAATTGCAGCAGCATTGCTACTGTAGAGTACTAAAAACCTATGAAGCTATCTGTATTGGGCTGAGGGAAGAGGTTCTTTCCCAAGGCCAATCAGTTGTAGTTATAGGATAAGCATTTTTCATGGCCCTCAGTTAAATTGCGACCTACAGATAAGTGAAAATTTCCATCTGAGAAGAAAGTTATGAGCCTTGGGACAGGGTTATGAGAGGGAAGTGAATCATGTTTCTGCTTTCCCAGGAGGTGGAGGTGGTGTAATGTCTACTTCCCTATTGGTGAAATAATGCACATTATACCATGTGCTCTCTCTGCTACTCTTATCAGAGAAGGTGGATCCAATCATCATTGTAGTATGTTAGGATGATCTTGGCAGTCCAGCTCTGTCTGCTTTTGTCCCCCCATTCCAGGGCTGAGCAGGAAACTCAGAGCAATGGAATCCTACTGACCAGCCAATCTCATGTGACAACATAGAGCTCTTCCCAGTAAACAAAGATCAAGCATATACCCAGTGGCTTCTGCCCCAGCTGCTCTTACTTGTAGATGCCACCCACTGGACTGGAGATTAGACCGGTCAAGTAAAAACATGCTGACAGAAAGGCATAGTGCTGCAGGATGAGATAAGCTTTTGGAGACATCTATAATCCCTGTATTGCAGAAGGTAGTGAGCCTGCTCATATGACCAGTAAATTGCTACCGTAATCAACATTTGAGAAAGCCACTGCACAAAAGCTATCTATAACCAAAAAACTCACACAGAAACAGGGTTCTCTGAAAGCATTCAGAATCAACACCAAGTGACCATACAGAAAACTCATTATAGGCATACCCTCAAAAGGAAACAGGAAATCCAACCCAATGAAAGTGAATTAAAATAAGAAGTGACACCTTCTCCAGATAAGAAGGAATTCGTGTATGAATTCTGGCAGTATGAAAAGATAGAGTATACATTCCAAAAGGACTACACTTGCACTCTAGCAATGGATTTTAACCAAAATGAAAATTCTGAAATGGCAGATGAAGATTTCAAACACAGATTGTAATAAAGCTTAAAGAGATCGAAGAGTAAGGTAAAACTAATGCACACAACAATTAGAAAAACACAATTCAGAATATGAATGAAAATATACTTAAGAGTAACATTTTAAAAAAACAGAACTTCTGAAAATGAAAAAATTATTGACTCAATTATAAAAAACAATTGAAAGCTTTACCATAGTCTAGAAATAATTTGAGTTAACCCATCAGACAAAAATAAAGAGAATTTAAAAATAAACAACACTTCTGAGACATATGACATTATGTAAAGAGATTAAACCTCTGATTTATAGGCATTTCTGAGAGAGAAGAAAAATATGTAAGAGCTTGGAAAACTCATTTGAGAAAATAATTCAGGAAAACATCCCTGGTCTTGCTAGATGATTAGCTTCTAGAAAAAAGAAATTCAGCGAACACCTCAGACATACTTTGCAAGATACATCTCATCAAGACAGTTTGTCATTTATGTCCAAAATCAATGTGAAGAAAAAATTTCTAAAATTAGCATGAAATCATTTGTAAAGTAAATCCCATGGACGAAGAGCAAACTTCTCAGCAAAAGCCATACCAATAAGAAAAGATTGAGCTCTTTATTTCAACCTTTTAAAGGAAAAAAAAATGCTAGCTATGAATTTTGTATTCTGCTAAACTCAGCTTTATAAATGAAGGAGAGATAAGGTCTATCCCAGATAAGCCAGCAAATACTCAAGGAATGTGTCATTACTAGACTGGTTCTACAAGAAATGCTCAAAAGAGTTATAAATATGGAAACAAAAGTAGATTAACTTGCCATTACACAAGCACATGACAGTATAAAACTCACTGATCCTTGAAAGCAACTAGACAATTGAGACTGCAGAGCAACTAGATAATAATTAACATTAATACAGAAACAAAACATCACATACCTGTATTAACCTTGAAGGCAAATGGTCTAAATACTTCACTTAAAAGATAAAGATAAGAAAGAAATTAAAAGAAAAACAAGACTAAAACATGTATTGCTTACAAGAAACTCAACTTAGGGGTAAAGACATTCACAGACTCAATATAATGGGGTGGAAATAAATGTTCCTCATAAATTGAGCAAGCAGGACTACCTATAGTTACATCAACTAAAACAGACTTTAAATCAACAAAAGTAAAATAGTGTCAAAGAAGATCATTATATAATGATAAAAAGATAAATTCAACAAGAAGATGTAAAAATTTTCAATATATATGCACCTAACACCAAAGCACACAGATTCATAGAAAAATGCTATTAGACCATGAGGGGGTGGAGAAGGGAAAAAAAAAAAAGAAAAATACTATTAGACCTAAGAAAAGACATAGATAACAGTGCAATAATAATGCAAAACATGAACACCTTACTGACAGCATTACACAGATTATCAAGGCAAAAAAAATCATCAATAATAAAAAAACTCTAGACTTAAACTGGACTTTAGAGCTAATGGTCCTAATAGATATTTGTAGAACATTCTACCCAATGACCACAGAATGTATATTCCTCTGTGAAGAAAACATTATCAAAAGTAGATCATATACTTGGCCATTAAGCAAGTTTCAATAAACTAAAAAAGTTGATATATCAAATATATGCTCAGACAACATTGAACTAAAACTACAAATAAGTATCAAGAGGAACTCTGAAAACTATATGAATAAATGGAAATTCAGTAACCTGCTTCTCAGTGATCTTTGGGTAAATGATGAAATTATGACAGAATTTTTTTTTAAATGAATGAAAATAGAGAGACAACTTAGGAAAATCCTCTCGGATACAGCAAAAGCAGTACGACGAGGAAAGTTTATAGCATTAAGTGCCTACATGAAAAATATAGAAAGATCTCAAATTAACAACCTAATGTCACACCTCAAAGAACAAAAATAAAAAAATCAAAGTTAGCAGAAGAAAAGAGATAGATAGACAAAAGTCAGATCAGAGCAGAACTTAATGATATTGAGACCCAAAACAAACAAACAAGGGTTCAAAAAAATGTCGTTTGTTTTTAAAAAGATAAATAAAATTTATTGGCCAATAGTCAAATTAACAAGGATAAAATAAAGAAAATTTAAATAAACACAATTCAAAATGACAATCCAAAATGATAAAGGTGACCTTACAACTGATAAAATAAAATTACAAAAGATCAACATAAACTACTATGAACATTTCTAGGTACACAAATTGGAAAACCTTAAGGAAATGGATAAGTTCCTGGAAACATAACACCTCTCAAAAATGAATCATGAAGAAACAGAAATCCTGAACACACCAATAATGAACAACAAAATTGAATCAGTAATACAAAATAGCCCAATTAAAAAAGCCTAAGACAAGACAGATTCACAGTTGAATTTTACGACATACAAAAAGCTGATTTCACATCTGCTAAAATTATTCCAAAAATTCAAGGAAGAGGTAATCCTTCCTAGCTCATTCTATGAAGCCAACATCACCCTGATACCAAAGCAAGGCAAAGACACAACAGGCACAAGAAAAGTACAGTCAAATAACTCTGATAAACATAAATGCAAAAAATCTTAACATAATATTAGAACATTGAATCTAACAACATATCAAAAGATAACATAACATGATTAAGTCAGTTTATTCCAATGCAAAGATGGTTCAACATATACAAAAAAAAGTTTTACCCCATAAATAGAAACAAAAATCATATGATCAAGTCGACAGATGCAAGAAATGCATTTGATAAAGTCCAGCATCCCTTCATGATAAAGTCTCTCAACAAATTAGTTAACAAGGGAACATACTTGAAAATAATAAAAGTCATATATGTCAATTCCACATCCAACATTATACTGAATGAGTAAAAGTTGAAAGCATTTCTCTTAGGAACTAGAACAAGACAAGGATGACCATTTTTACCATTTCTATTTTCCACAGTACTGGAATTCCAATCCAGAACAATCAGGAAAGAGAAATAATCAAAATGCATCCAAATTTGAAAAAAGAAAAGTTAAATGATCTCTCTTCACTGATGATATACCAAGAACCCCCTAAAGACTCCTCCAAAAGTCTCTTACATTTGATAAATGATTTCAGTAAAGTTTTGGGCTACAAAATCAATGTACAAAAATCAGTAGCATTTCTATAAACCAGTAACATTCAAGCTGAGAACTGAATTAAAACTCAATAGTTGCAAAAAAAAGTAATAATAACTATGAATAAATTAAACCAAGTAGGTGAAAAATCTCTACAAGAAAACTACAAAATTCTAATGAAAGAAATTGTAGATAACACGAATAAATGAAAAAATATCCCAGAATCATGGATTGGAAGAATCATTGTCTGTGCAAAGCAATCTACAGGTTCAATGTAATTTCTGTTAAATTACCAATATAATTTTTATGGAATTATAAAGTAGTTCTAAAATTTATATTGAGCCAAAAGAGATTTTGAATAGCCAGAAATATTCTAAGTAAGAAGAACAAAACTGGAGGCATCACATTACCTGATTTCCAATTATACTACAAGATTATAGAAAACAAAACAGCATGGTATAAAAATAGACACTTAGGTCAATGGAACAGAATAAATAAAGTATCCCTACCACCAACTTATCTTCAACAAAGTTGAAAATACATATACTGGAAAAACATACAGTGGAAAAAGGAATGCCCTTCCAATAACTGATATGGGGACAATTGGATCGTCATATGCAGAAGAAAGAAACTAGACCTATAAGTCTTATCACATACAAAATTAAGCAAAATAGATCAAAGCCTTAAATTTAAAATCTGAAAC